TAGCATTTCACTGTAGCTTTAATTTACATCCCCTAATGGCTAATTATGTCTACACTTTTTCATATCCTTACTAGCTACTTATATTTTCTATATTGGAAGTCTATGTTGAAATCTAATGCTCATTTAAACACTGGAAATTTCTGACTTATTAACTTTAGGACCTCTTTATTTTGATCATAATGTTTGGAGTTTACTATCAAGATAAAATAATAAATAAATAATACATGTGTACAGACAAATGATAAACAAAATTGGTAAGATGTTAATAATTGCATAATCTGGGTAAGAGAGTATGAGAATTTTTTGTACCATTCTTTAAGCTTCTTTGAAAATCTAAAATTATTTCATGATATGAAATTATGAAATAAAAGTTCACTAGGCATAAGATTTATGCATATATTTTTGATGAACTTTGTAATTTAAAAAGAAATTATTAGAAAAATCTTAAAGATATGAAAATTTTAACCACAGAATTAAGTAATGTGACTCAGTAGAATATCCTAACCAATCAGGTTTAATGAAAGCTGCTCAATGTTCAGTTAGCTCTTTCTCTTAGGGTAGACATTCCAGTGCTGCAACTGGAAGACTGGGGTTTTCGGCCAAGGCTTTCTTCTTTTCAGACTCCTTTCTTTACTTCCCCCACTCACACCCAACCCAGCATTAAGTATTCTGCTTAGTTTTTTGTTTTGTTTTGTTTGCAGTTGATTTGTGTTTGATTTTTAGACCTTCCACTTGGGCAATTTAGGATTCTGCAAATGTACAATAAAGTTCTTTCTTTTTTTTAATTGTTTTATTATTCATATGTGCATACAATGCTTGGGTCATTTCTCCCAATAAATTTCTTGAATAATTTCAAGCATATGATATCTGCCAGAACTCAGACATTAATCCATAGCATCAATCTCCTAGCTCTGATTACAATAACTAGAAATAGTATTTTTTGAGCTCTTACCATGTGAAGACATTTTGTTAATCACATTCTTCTAACTATTATTATCTGGGGACGACACCTTCACATTCTGTAAATGATGAACTTTCTCAAAATCATTCAGAAGGAATGTGGTAAACCTGAGCTTCAACTTCATCTTTTTTTCCTCCAGAAAGCAAATAGTTAATTGCAAAAACACAATGTTTTCCTAAAGAACACGACTAGGAAGAACTGCTGATATGGCCTGTAAACAAGATGCTACCTACATGTTATTTCTGTCCTCCTTATAACCATTTGGGAGCCTTCTACAAGGGAGCACAGCCCAAGCATCCACACTAGTGATTCTTTGGAATTCTCCTGGTACCTCAGCTGCTCCAGAGACTGCTTCTAGTATCTGGACTCCACACTTCCCCTCATTTAAAAGCACAGTATATCCTGAACGATAAGACTTTTGGATAGAGCAGGAGAATGTGGGCACTGTGGGGATTCCCCTTTTCCCCTTGACCTTGGTCTTGATGTCTGAGATTTTACTGAGCTCTCTGCCTCTATGACAAGATGCCTGCTGTCTCTGCTTCGTCCAAGCTGCAGTCAGGTTGGGCATTTGCATGCATTTGCAGGGCTGCTTTATCCCCTAACAGTGGAGTTTATTCACTAGCTTTGATATACTAATTGAATCTTTTTTCTTTTCCAGAAGAGAAAATTTGGGGAAGATTGGTAGATTGAGGGGAAGAGAAGGCATGAGGTGAACCATGAAGGATAACTGGGGGCATATTGGGAGTAAATTGGTTTTACTCCCTTGGATTTGATTCATAAAATTCAACTAATTATGTTGAAATAATCTGATTGAGTCTCAATCTTCTGCAATAGATCCAGTCAATCCATGTCTCATCTTACTGAGATACAAGCAGAACTTTCATGGAGTCAGTTTTTGATCCTCTGTGTTTATCTCTCTCTCTCTCTCTCTGTGTGTGTGTGTGTGTGTGTGTGTGTGTGTGTCTTCTGCCTCTGTTGACCTGGGATTGGAACGTATAGGATAAAGAATAGGTGATTGTAAGCAGGAAGGATTTTGGAATCAAAAGAGAGATATAGTGTTTTTCTTTTTGTTTCTTATGGGTTCACTCAGTCTCTTCTTTCTAAAGTACATGTTAGATTAGACAATGCAAGTTTCTATGACCTTTTCAATCTATATTCAGTGAAATATTTTTATCTTTAGAGAAATGAACTCACAAGTTCCTGTTAAATCTTGAGCAAAGGCAGAATAAAGCAACAGAAAGGTTGACAGTAAAGTTGATTTTCTAGCAGAAGCTTCTTGACCTCAGGGGCAGGTTCACAATCACTCGGGGGAACATTTTCTCCCTCACATTTGCATGGTAGAAGAGCATTTTAAAAGAATATCAAGGAGGTCAGGTACTGATTTCTAATGCAGTCCTAAAATCAGTGAGACCCCCTCCCCACCCTTCTTTCATCTGACAAGTCGCAGTTACATTCATCTGACTGACAATCACCTTTTGTCTCCTGACACTTTGGCTCAGCTCAGATCAGTTCAAGAAACATGTGTTGGATGCTTATTATGTGCTATGATTGATCATATTTGCTGTGAATAAGCTCAGATGCCATCCCTGCCCTCAAACATCTTATGGTCATAGAGAAAAGACAAATATTTTCAATGTGATTTACTAAGGCATGTTATGGATGTAAGTATATAGTGCTATAGGCATTTCTTGTGCATCTAAGACAGACCAGGTCTTTGTGAGTGTGTGTGTTTGTGTGTCTGTGTCTATGTGTGTTGGTGCTTAGAATGGGGAATGGGGAATGGTGAATGGGGAATGGGGAATGGGGAATGGGGAATGGGGAATGGGGAAAGATACTTTGGGAGAAATGCCAGGGAGGGAAAAGCAGAGACTTCATGGCTAACCAGCAATTGGTAAGAGTGAATAGGTTATAAACTGGTGTTTTGTCATATAGGTGAAGCATGATTTGAACCAAGTTGTTTGTTTTAGAGTTTCTACCTACAAAGTGAATAAGTAATCAAAACACTGAAAAAGTTAAATTGAAGTGAATGGGACATTCCTCGTGATGCCACATCTCAACTTAAGTCTTAAGACCAATGATGAATTGAAATCTTTTGACAGTTTGACAAACTGACAGACCCATCCAGATGTTAAGACTCGGTTATTAGATTATATGCAGTGCAATTTTATCTTTTTAATTTTTTAAAGAAAATTCTTGTAGCCCAATAGTTCTTAGCCTGGAATTCAGAGTATTCTTCAGTTTGGATGTGAAATGCTTCTTCTAAATTTTTACTTTCCTGTACTCTAAATTTAGCATAAACTTCTTGTTGAAATGTAGGTAACCAACCCATACTAGTATTAAAAGTATCTATGACTTTGTCAGCAATAGAGATCAGAGGTATTTTTATATCATACTGCAGTTGTTTAAGATATAACCAAATATTCGAGGTCATATTTTGGAAAACAAGGAATTATTAGATCTGGCACTATATTTAAATTTTATGTGTAACTTTCTTTTTCTGTCTTTTTTTTTTTTTGGTGGTACTGGGGTTTGAACTCAGGGCCTTGTACTTGCTAGGCAGCACTTTACTACTTGAGTCACTCTGCCAGCCCTAGCATTTTTAATGTGTTAATAAAGTACATGTATTGTTGTCTACATAGTTATTTTCTAAAACTATTTCAATATAAGTTATTGAGAATAAATTATTTCTAAAGTATTTAATTTCTAAAACGTCCCAATTTCTTGAAATCAGAGAAGAAATCTGGCAGTTTTCTCTTGACTTTCTATGTGTTTATTCACTATCTTCTTCATAAAATACACGTCAGATTAAGATATCGCCATATATTTAAAGTTGTAACAATTTTGAAATGAAGGTGGTTATTAGACCTACCATTATATTAAAAATTTAATGTGTTAGTGAAGACACATTGTCTTTATTATTTTGTATTAACTAAGCACACATGTTGTTGTTTATATATGTGTTTTATGAACCTAACCTGGTAACTATATTTTGATATAACTGGCTTCCTTGGTAATCATTTATACATTCATTCTGGTGCATATTTAAAACATTGAAACTTTTCTGCCAAAGAGATGAAGAACTTATTAGCCTTGCATAGGATCTTAAATTTTACAAAATTTCCTTTCTTTTTATAAAAGCTCCATGAAATTTTATTATTACTCCCAAATTGTCTTAAATCTTTCAAGGGATATTGGCAGGCCTTCTTAATGAACTTTGTCATTAAATTATTTTTATTTGAATTTTTTTATTCAGCTTATTTAATGATAATCTGCAGAATGAAGTGCTGCATTATGTTTTCTAAAGGACTCAGGATGAAAGTGATATAGTTTTCAAAGAAGTTTTTAAGCTTTGGGAGGGGTAGGCAATAGATAATGCAGGGTAGTGAGAGATGAGGATGAGCTAGCAGTGAGGGAGAAGTGCTGTTTGAGCTGAGCAGGAAATCAGCAAACTGGTGGCTTAACATGAAAATTCTACTGTGATAGTGTATCTGTTGTTTTGAAAGTTCCTTCACAGTTGATACTGGTATTATAGAACTACAGCTGGAGCTGCAGATACCCCCTTTCCAATGGAGTATCCAGAGTTATCTTCTGGTTTCCCAATTTCTTCATGATAGGGTATTTTCTTTAAGAAACATGAGTTCTCCAAGGTATTTTAGCTCTTTTTGAATTCTTACACTTTTGTGACTATCCTTTTGGGAAAGAGACAACAAGATCAGTTGCATGTCCAAATATTTTTTTAAAACCAACATAAACATGAGATGGAGGAAATATGACAAGGGCAGCATAAGCTACAGAGGGCTTAACTGATAACAAACAGAAATTACATGGTGCACTGCTCATCTATAAGATGAATCCAATTTGACTTACCGTCTTATTAGAAGTGTGATATTCAGAATAAGGAAGATCATCCTTGAACTTGCAGGATGATACCAATAATCTTAAATAATATTATTTTGCAACACTGAAAGTGATTCAACTAAAGCAGCATGATGATCTTATGAAAGGGAGTTCTGAAATGGTTGATAGTTATTGAGGCTATTCCTAAGCCTGCTGATTCTGAATTATGTAATTTTATAGGTTATGCATAACTGTGTTTATCATATAGTGTCTTCTTGCTGAAAAGGAAGACGAACTATGAGACAGACAAATCAGACACAGGTAACAGAATTCCTCCTTCTGGGACTCTCTGATGACTGGCACACACAGAAGGTGCTTTTCATCTTATTCCTGGGTGTCTATCTGGCCACTGTGCTTGGAAATCTGCTGCTTATGTTCCTTGTTCAGATTGACTCTAGGCTTCACACACCCATGTATTTTTTTCTCTGCAATTTGTCTCTGGCTGACTTCTGTTTCTCTACCAACATAGTTCCTCAGGCCCTAGCCCACCTGCTTTCTGGAAAGAAGGTTATTTCATTCACACGTTGTGCAGCTCAGCTTCTGCTCTTCCTCATTTTTGGATGTACGCAGTGTGCTCTTCTGGCAGTGATGTCCTATGACAGGTATCTGGCAATCTGTAACCCTTTGCATTACCACAGCATCATGACCTGGAGAGTCTGTGTCCTGCTGGCCACAGGATCATGGACCATTGGTATTTTAGTGTCTGTGGTAGACTCCATTTTTATACTAAGTCTACCCTACCAAGGCAGTAACAGTATTGCTCATTTCTTTTGTGAGGCCCCTGCACTGTTGATCCTGGCATCCACAGACACTCGTACTTCAGAGATGGCCATTTTCCTCATGGGGATTGTGATTCTCCTCATACCTGTTTCCCTAATTCTTGTGTCCTATGGCCACATCATAGTGACAGTGCTCAAGATGAAATCAGCTGCAGGAAGGCACAAGGCATTTTCTACCTGTGGCTCTCATCTCATGGTGGTCGTCCTTTTTTATGGGTCAGGAATTATTACCTATATGACACCCAAGTCTTCCAAAGAGCAGGAGAAACTGGTGTCTGTTTTCTATGCAATGGTGACTCCTATGCTTAATCCTCTCATCTACAGCCTGAGGAACAAGGATGTGAAAGGAGCTCTGGGAAAAGTAGCCACAAGGAATTTCCCATGTAGGCTTGGAATTACCCATCTGACTCAGAGATGCTTTTGACTTCCTACATGTAAGACTTGCTGGGTAGTCCCCTCCTTGTAAATCTAAAATATGGTAAGATTCTCATCCTTGGACCTTGTCTATGGACCCACTTTCTACCATTCATACAGAATTTCCTTTGTAGAAGGAGAAGGATAGTAATTATTGGAACAATAGAAGGGGAAGCTCTGCTTCCTTCTGGTTTATTCTTTGATACTTAAGAATTAGGACATCCCCTGAAAAAATTAACATTTCATAAACCTTGTAAAATATATCTTTTAAATAATAAATCATTATCTACTTATCTATCTATCTATCTATCTATCTATCTATCTATCATCTATCTATCTATCTATCTTATCTACCTACCAATAAAAAATCATCTATTCCAGATCCCAGATCCTAATCTGAGTTCTTTATCTTTTGGTATTTCTGAATTTCTTTACATCATCAAGTAATAAAATTTAACAAACATTACGTGGTCACTTATGAGCTAGGTGCTACATACATGTGTGTGTTTGTGCATGTATGTGTGTGTGTGTGTTTGGTGGTACTGGGTTTGAACTTGGGGCTTCACACTTTCTAAGCCAGCACTCTACCACTTGAGCCACTCCACTAGCCTTTATATGTGTGTTTGAGGTGAATAATGAAGACCATGAGCATAATAACGCAGAATATATGATCTCTGTGTCCTTCTCTCTCTTTATACACATGAGGATCATATCTATCAAGATACACCTTCATAAAGGTTGAATACAGAGTTTTTGAAACCAAGAAGAAATAAAGGCATATCTTAGGGGTGCAAAAGGTACAGGAAAGGAGCTGTGAACTAGGTTATATGGAGGTGAGCAAGCCATGGGTAAAAATATTTCAAGCTCATTCTCCATCTACGTTTGGATCCTCTGCTATTGTATTCAAGTTAGAAGCCAGAGAATAAGGGAACCTGTCTGTACAATCCATAAAAGACAGCAAATACTCTGAAGCATATAGCAAGGTGAGAAAGAATAGAGGATGCATCTGAAAGGACCCACAGAAGATGAAGAGCAAGCTTCCACTTGTTCTTTGTCTGGTGATTAAATCATGTTCCTAATACAGGGAAAACATGAAGTTCCACTAACAATGTAATCATAGCAGTGTGATGTCAAGTAGGTCATATTTCTACTTGATCCTTAAGAGAAAGCTTCTATAGAGATAATCTATACAAGGAAATTGAGGGAAGAAAGTAAGAAACATAATTACTATACTTGGGAAACATAACTTCTGTACTCACTTATCCTGATCACCAAAACTAAAATGAAAATCATAACTTTTTATTTCACCACTTCTTCATGGATACTTTTTTTTTTGCCTTAGTTTGTGTTCATTGGAATTTGTTATCTGGTGTGACCATCTAAAACTTCCTTCCTGAATATTTGAATCCTTGATGATCCATTTTTAACTTTATTCTTACAGTTTCCCTTTGATTGGAACTATTGTTCAAGGAAGTGTAATAAAATATCCAAGTGAATCTTATGAATTCCAAACTCAATTTCCCTTATGCCCAGTGTATTTCTGTAATGCCATTTGTACTTGGAAATAAGATCAATCATTCTAGGCAGTATAGTGAATTTACTTTTGTCTGCAAGTGATTCAGTAGGACTCAAATACCAGTGAACATTCCATGCTTCCAATTTATTAGGACTGAGTGGTTCAGGACTGTGGTGAAGGCAGTTTTTCTTTTTGGGGTCGGGGCACTGGTAATTCAAAGTCAGTCAAACCCAAAAATGTAGACATGAATAGCAAAAACTCTTCAGTGGGTACTTGATTTAATGATGTAGGGGGCCACTGCAACTCCTTCCTAGATTTGCATTTTGGCAAGTATACAGACAGCACATATGTGTACCACTATTTTAAAGCATGTATGGCATTTTATTAAATAGCTTCAACCTCTCAGAGTTGTCTCTTAGTTCATGCTGCAACTGGAACTTCCAAAAAGTCATTCTGAAATTCTCTTAAGCCAGCTGCTTCTGGATACTGGACTGCGTGGTGACACAAATAAATTCAATGAACTTGAGCATAGTACATTTTTTTTTTCACCAAAAAGAAAGGAGAAACAGTATGAGTGCATTTACATAAGGACAAAGTCTTGACCTCTCAATGATGGGAGTGGCCCAGTGCAAACAACATACCACCAGCTAACAACTGTTTTTCTTGGTGAATCGCGCCATTCATTTGGTGGCCAGTTTTAGCAGTAGGATAAACACTACTACACATGACATAAAAGATGCTCATCACTGTGAAAGATCCATGGTACTGCCTACTCCCCTCAACTCCTGCAGAGGAGTTGCCAGGTGAGGCAATACTGCAGAAACTACTGAGTTGTTTGAGAAGAGATTTTGTTTTATAAAGTCAGTTGCAAGAACTCAACAAACTGATAATTGTAGAAAGGGCATCTGAAGCTGGGCTCCATGTCTCATGCCTGTAATCCTAGCTGCTGGGGAGGTAGTGATCTGGAGGATCATGTTTTGAGGCCATCCTGGCAAAAAGTTAAAGACCCTATTTCAACAAATATAAAGCTGGGCAGTGATGGCATCTGCCTGTCATGTCACCTATGCAGGGAGGGTAAATAGAAGGATCATGGGCCCAGCATAAAAGTGAGACACTATTCAAAAAATAACTACAGCAGAGAGAGTTGGTGCATGGCTCAAATGGTAGAGTGCCTGCCCAGCAGGCCCAAGGCCCTGAGTTCAAAACCCTTTGAAAAACATCTAGAGATAGGCTAGTTCATTTTATGAGCTAAGTGATAGGGCATCAGGATCACTGTCCAGTTCCTCTAGGGGATTAGCAAATTTTTATCCAGTTGTCATTCCAGCAGCTGCTTTTGTGGCCTCTTGGAGGCAACCCTGACTGTGTCAGATGGTTGTTCCAGTCTGCAGATGTGAATACTGAGTGCTAATGTGACCTGTGTCTAAATACAGTAATGAAGTAATACCGCCCTCACAGCTCACTTCATGCCATGGTTATGCAGATCCTGATGTTTCTCCTTTGTCTAAAGGGCAAGTGTGAAGGAAGAGAAGTGGTTTGGGAATCATGCCCATAATATTCTTCAGATCTGAGCTAGATGTCACCGAAACAAATAGGTTCCTTACATCTCCACCCAGTCTGTGGCTTACTTCCCATCATTCATTCAGTAAGAAAATGGACCACTACCTTTGAAGCTTGGCCCAGAAAAAACACATCTCATAAGGACCAAAAATTATAGTATCAGTGGGAATAACAGCTCCATGAAAGGGCTTCTGAAGAAGGTGAGAATGTATGTCAGGGCACTGGTGGGGTCTTACAGGACGGTGGCGTGAACATTAGGAATTCGAAACAGGTATGCAGGTTCTCTGGTGAAATAACATCTTTGGACAATGGGCCATTCTCCCCACTGAAGCAACATTCAGAAGAATCAAAGGCAGAACAACTGGGAGGCAAGAACTTCTGTCATCCAACCTCAGAACTCCAGAGTAAGCACCTTCCTCCAAATGCCAAGCCAGCCTCCCAGGAACATACATGGTTTGCTGCAGCTACGACAGGGGAGTCCCTTAAGCAATCAGACCTCAGCTGCCTCTCCCAAAGACAGTCCTTGGAGAGCTCCCAACCCCCATTCCTGCAAAAGAACAAAGTCAAGCCACCCAGAAAAAGAAATGGCAACACGCAGCCTACCGGTTCCCTCTGCCTGCTCCTCCTAGGCTGCTGTCTCCAGCATTACCTGCAGAGGAGAGGCCCACCTTGGCTATCAAAAGCAAGGACTTTTCTTTGCAAAGTCTTGAAGAAGGGCATTTGGTCAAAGCTAGTTCATCAGGGTCACAGGCACTGGCACATGGAAAAAAACACTTTGAAGCACCGGGGCCAGGCCCTTGGGGGAAGTGGAAAATAGTTTGCCCACCATCGTGGAGAAAACCCCAGCAAGGAACAAGAGGGAGCAGGAAGTGTAGCTTTCCCAGTGATGTGATTACAAATCAGAAACTCAAGAGAGCCTCTGTCAAGGAGAAGAAAAATGGGTGTTCCTTGCAGTTTTCTTGGTGGAGTGGCCACAGGTCTAGAACTAAGGCACACGACTATGGACAGGAGGCCTTGGTGACTAAATCTATACACAAACTAACTGCTTACCAGTGGTGCAAGTCCTGGCCTGCATTTCCTACCAAGAGTCCCCGAGTAAGCCTGAGGGTAGCAGCCAGCACGTGGGCATGTACCCATGCCCTTGGCTCTGCTCCACACCCATGTGGCCTGCAATTCCCTACTTTTCCCTCTCCACCGTGGTGGACATTACTGAGGACAGGCAGAGCAATTCCCACCAACTGCTGCAGCAACAATGAATCAGAGTTCCTAGGTGACATCTGCAGCACCAGACACTGTGAAGAAAATGGGGACTTAATTTAGTTTATTTGTCTAGACTCTGTATCAATTCAAACCATTAAGACTTCAGACCTTTACAGCAATGCCACAAAAACGTTTTAAAAGTTAGGCTTTACAGAACCTCAAGAAGTAAACCCTCCACTTTCAGTGTGGCTCTTTGAAACTGATACTTTTAACATTATTGGTAGGAGTAGAAAATGTCTCCTCTCACCCACTTCTCACCTCCCAGTTTCACGGAAAAAAAAAAAAGATTATGCCTTAATTTTTGTGTAATACTTTCATGGAATGCTTGTATTTATTTATTTACTTTTATTTTATATTCATTTATTTCTTATGTGTATACATTGTTTGGGTCATCTCTTCCCCCTGGTCCCCTCGGTTTCCCCCTCATGCCCTTTTCTTCTAGGCAGACCTGTTCTGCCCTCTTCTTCAATTTTTTTGAAGAGAAAACATAAGCAATAATAAGAAAGACACAGCATTTTTGCCAGAGAGATACCGAGCATTGCTTCCATGAACAAGTGTATTACAACCTGAATTGGTTCATCTCTACCAGACCTCTTCACTACTTCCTGGTTACCTTCCCATAGTGGCCTCTGTCAGTTCAAGATTACTTTATTAGCTCCTCTACAGTGGGCACATCAAACACTTTCAAGTTTTAAGTTTCCTTCCCTTTCCTTATTCCTTCTGTATGCACTCTCCCCTTTGAGTGTGATCCATGTCTAATAATATTATTGCAATTGTTTTAGGTATATAATCTGCATATGAGGGAGCACATGCAATTTTTGGCCTTCTGAGCCTGGCTAACTTTGCTTAAGATGATGTTCTTCAGTTCCATCCATTTAATTGCAAATGGCAAAATTTCATTCTTTGTGGCTGAGTAAAATTCCACTGTGTATAAATACCACATTTGCTTAATCCATTTGTCAGTGGTGGGGCATCTTGGCTGTTTCCATAACTTGGCTATTGTGAATAGTGCTGCAATAAACATAGGTGTGCAGGTGCCTTCAGAGTAATCTGAGTCACATTCCTTTGGGTATATCTGTAAGAGTGGTATTGCTGGATCTTTGGCAGATTGGTGTTTAGTTTTTTAAGAAGACTCCATATTTAAAAAAAAAATTTTTTCATATGTGCATACAACGTTTGGGTCATTTCTACCCCCTTTCCCCCCTTAGCCCCCTCCCTCCCTCACCCCCTTTTACCCCTCGCTACCAGGCAGAAACTATTTTGCCCTTATCTCTAATTTTGTTGAAGAGAGAGTATAAGCAATAATAAGAAGGAATAAGGGTTTTTGCTAGTTGAGATAAGGATAGCTATATAGGGAGTTGACTCACATTGCTTTCCTGTACATGTGTGTTACCTTCTAAGTTAATTCTTCTCAAACTAACCTTTTCTCTAGTTCCTAGTCCCTTTCTCCTATTGGCCTCACTTTCTTTTAAGGTATCTGCATTAGTTTCTCTGTGTTGAGGGCAACAAATACTATCTAATTTTTTGGGTGTCTTACTTATCCTCATACCTCCCTTGTGTGCTCTAGCTTTTCATGTGATCAAAGTTCAATCCCCTTATTATGTTTGCCCTTGATCTAATGTTCACATATGAGGGAGAACATACGATTTTTAGTCTTTTGGGCTAGGCTAACCTCACTCAGAATAATTTTCTCCAGTTCCATCCATTTATCTGTGAATGATAACATTTCATTCTTCTTCATGGCTGCATAAAATTCCAGTGTGCATAAATACCACATTTTCTTAATCCATTTGTCAGTGCTGGGGCATCTTGGCTGTTTTCATAACTTGGCTATTGTGAATAGTGCTGCAATAAACATGGCTGTACAGATGATTTTGGAGTAACCTGTGTCACATTCTTTTGGGTATATCCCCAAGAGTGGTATTGCTGGATCATATGGTAGATCTATGTTTAGATTTTTAAGTAGCCTCCAAATTTTTTCCAGAGTGGTTGTACTAGTTTACATTCCCATCAGCAGTGTAAGAGGGTTCCTTTTTCCCCCTCTCTGCATCCTCGCCAACACCTGTTGTTAGTGGTGTTGATATTGATGGCTATTCTAACAGAGGTGAGGTGGAATCTTAGTGTGGTTTTAATTTGCATTTCCTTTATTGCTATGGATGGTGAGCATTTTTTCATGTGTTTTTTTGCCATTTGAATTTCTTCTTTTGAGAAGGTTCTGTTTAGTTCAGTTGCCCATTTCTTTATTGGTTAATTAATTTTAGGAGAATTTAGTTTTTTGAGTTCCCTATATATTCTGGTTGTCAGTCCTTTGTCTGATGTGTAGCTGGCAAATATTTTCTCCCACTCTGTGGGTGGTCTTTTCAGTTTAGAGACCATTTCTTTTGTTGAGCAGAAGCTTTTTAGTTTTATGAAGTCCCATTTATCTATGCTATCTGTTAGCTGCTGAGCTGCTGAAGAAGCCTCCATATTATTTCACAAAGTGGTTGTACTAGCTTACATTCCCTCCAGCAGTGTATGAGGGTTCCTTTTCGCCAACATTTGTTGTTGGTGGTGTTTTTGATGATAGCTATTCTAATAGGAGTGATGTGGAATCTTAGTGTGTTTTTGATTTGCATTTCCTTTATGGCTCATGGAGTGCTTTTATTAAGGTAAAACCATGGTATATTATGTCTCTTCTTCATCATGTGTGGACACTAGTGACTTTAATGGAAAGTGAAGGATGTTTTTCTAGTTACAAGTAAATACTGAGATTTTAAAAGTGGCGACAGTGAATGAGTTTTGTGGTATCGGCTGCTTTTTATTTTATATTTTGTGATCATCTGGCAAGGTACAGGTTTTGATGTTCAAATTTCACTGGGATGAGACATTTGATCCCAAGGTCTGGTGGATGGAATTTTAGGACATATATTTGCTATTTTTAATTTTTATTAAAAATATTTTTTAATTAAGATGTAATCTATTTTTTAATTAAGATGTAATCTATTTTTTATTATTGTTGTGCTGGGTGGGAGTACACTGTGGCATTTACAAAAGGCTCGTTCATTCTTTAGCCCTCTGCAAGGGCTTTCCTGTTGCAGGAGATTACATACAATTGTGTGAAATAGGTTATGAGAGGCAGTCATTGTCTTCTATAATCCTTTATACTACAGTCTTCCTTTCTCAGATGTTTCTGCATTCTGTTTTTTTTCGGAATTGTTCTGTTTCCAGGATTCAATTTCTATGCTAGACCCTAAATCCAGAGATTTCAGTCAGGATAGGGAAGCTGGTAATATCTTCAAATGCTGATTCACAAAAACATTTGCCACACTTGGTACCTAGGTCCTGGTTACAGTAACACCTTCTTGGGCAATCTATCCAGAATTTTGATGCCTTTCTCACAGCCCCTAATCTTTTTTTCCTTTTTCTTTTATTATTCATATGTGCATACAAGGCTTGGTTCATTTCTCCCCCCTGCCCCCACCCCCTCCCTTACCACCCACTCCGCCCCCTCCCTCTCCCCCCCAATACCCAGCAGAAACTATTTTGCCCTTATTTCTAATTTTGTTGTAGAGAGAGTATAAGCAATAATAGGAAGGAACAAGGGTTTTTGCTGGTTGAGATAAGGATAGCTATACAGGGCATTGACTCACATTGATTTCCTGTGCGTGGGTGTTACCTTCTAGGTTAATTCTTCTTGAACTAACCTTTTCTCTAGTACCCGTTCCCCTTTTCCTATTGGCCTCAGTTGCTTTTAAGGTATCTGCTTTAGTTTCTCTGCGTTGAGGGCCACAAATGCTAGTTAATTTTTTAGGTGTCTTACCTATCCTCACCCCTCCCTTGTCACAGCCCCTAATTTGTAGACAGTTCAACCATTTGCATCTCAGAAGACTTGCCTTTGGTGTACAATTTTGATCTTCTTTGGGTACAGAGAAATTCACTCTTAGTGAAATAGTCTTTGAGCATGACTCCAAGCCCAGAATTGTTCACTGAGTACTGTCCACCTAAGCCTTGACCTGGACATTAGTGCAATTCAGACCAGATTGGACAACTGACCCAATCTGGAAGGACTTCAGAAAAATTTTTTTGGGTGAACAGTATTGTGCAAAATTGCCTTTTTAAATACCAATATATGCATGTTTTGTGCATTAGTAATATTTGTTTTGATACACCTGTTGTTAAATTACTGCATGACATAAACTGTGTGTGTGTATATGTATATATATATAATTGTGTATATTTAATATAACACATTATGTACTGTAATAAATGGCTGGTTTTACTGCTTCTAAGTTTCTTTTTTGGGAGCCCTTGCTACAAGAAAGCTGAAGGACACCTCATGTAGGAAGTAAAACTGGTCCTAGTTCCTCTATTGCACAAAGAAATAGAATTGTTCATAGAATTGGTAGAGAGGACATCCCTGTGCAGGAAATGTTATTTTAACTTGTAATTACTAATGAATTAGTTATGCTGCCTATACTTCAAGGCTGCTCATTGCTGAGTCCAGTGTATATGTTCACTGGGAAAAATCATAAAGAGAGTCTTCTATGTTGTCTGAATGATATACAAACTTGAATGGATGATTGATTCCATTCAATCAAAATAAAATTACAGAAAAGAATATTTCGATTACTTATGGCAGATTCTCATAATATCTCCACTTGTGCTTGACTTGGAGGTTCTTTACACTCTTTCTATCACACATATTTCACATGGATAATTTGAGTTTTGTCAGTGTGGAAAAGTCTTCACATGATACACAGACTAGTCCTATAAATGTGTATGTTGCCTTTCCTCTATAAGTGAAGAAATATATCTCTTTTGCTTGTGACTGTGTCTTCAGGGCCTAACCAACCTGATAGATACAGAGTTCTGCATAAAAATTTATTGAACTTTTGAGTGCAAAATCAAAATTTGTTGAAAACAATGAGTGAAAGAATAAAAGTACCATCTTATTTATTATCATCAGTATAATTATTTGAATTATTTTATGCATAAAGACAAACTACATTTATGTAGCTATGGTATTTAGACAGATAAAAGAAAGTAAATCAGTACACTGTAAAATGAAATAGGTGAAGAAATTCATGATTAAAACAAAAAAATGGTGGATTGTAGTGAAAATTTCAACCCATTTGAGAAATTCAGTTTTCTTCCCTTTGTCCTTTATATTTTCCCCCTTCAGTTTCCACATGAGTCTGTCATAGTTTCTGAGGGCCCCGAGTTCTGTGGATGACACGTCTCAGTGCAGCTTTTACTTCGTTATTCCTTAGGCTGTAGATGATGGGATTCAACATGGGAGTCACAACTGTGTAGGAGAGTGACAGCAGCTTTTTGCTCTCAGGAGAGGTGCTAGAGCGGGGTCGGAAGTAGGTGAGGATGGCAGTACTGTAGAAGAGGGAGACAACCAGGAGGTGGGAGGAGCAGGTGGAGAAGGCCTTGTGCTTCCCCTCAGCTAAGGGCATCCTGAAGATGGTGGAGAGGATACGGATGTAGGACCCCAGGATCAGCAAGAAAGGGAAGAGGATGAATAACACAGTGGCTGTCAGAGCCTCCAATTCAAACAAAGAGGTATCGGCACAGACCAAGGCAATGACAGGAGGGCTGTCACAGAAGAAGTGGTTCACCCTGTTGGGGCCACAGAAAGGGAAGCTGAAAATCCATGTAGTTTGTACAGTGGCCACTGGGAATCCTGAGAACCAAGAGGCAGCTGCTAGTTGGGCACAGGACCTGCGGCTCATGATTACTGGGTAGCGTAAGGGATTACAGATGGCCACGAAGCGGTCATATGCCATTGTGGCCAAGAGGCAGCATTCAGCAGCTCCAAAGAAGAAGAAAAAATACATCTGAGTGGCACATCCAAGGAAGGAGATAGTTGTCTCTTGGATGATCAGGGTTCCCAGCATCTTGGGCACAATGACCAAGTTGAAACCTATCTCCAGGAAGGATAAGTTTCTGAGGAAGAAGTACATAGGACTTCGCAGTGCAGAGTCAGCTGTCGTGACCAAGATGATGAGGACATTGCCCATTAGTGTAACCAGGTAAATGGTCAGAAACAGGAGAAATAGTAGGGCTTGTAGGTCAGAGGGCAAGGCTGAGAAACTAACAAGAATAAATTCACTGACAATTGTCCAGTTTCCCCACATAATTCTTCTGCCCAAGATTTCATTGGGCTTTCAAATTCAAGGAAGGTGGGAGAAGACTCTAATGTTCTTTATAGTCTGTTACACTCTAAGAAAGGGAACCTCCTTTGGCCCCACTCTCCACTTTTCTTCATACAGTTATTGAAGATCAATCACCTGGCATCTCCAAAATGTAAAAAAGATTTTCGACCATTGTGTTCATGTATTTTTGGAAGAATTCTTTTTTTTCCAGATGAAACTGAGATGTTCTATATGAATGTACACATATCCAGATTTTTCTGTGTTCTATAGAAGATTCCCAAAGGCACAGATTCACTTTGTGCTCCTATTCTATCTCTCTTCAATAGTCGGTGGTGCTAGTGCACAGATCAGTTAGAGATGAATCAACCTGAGTTGTAACACATTTGTACATGAAAGCAATGCTAGGAATCTCTCTGTATAGCTATCCTTATCTCAACTAGCAAAAAATGCTATGTCTTTCTTATTATTGCTTATTTCTACTCTTCAATGTAACTGGAGAAAAGCACAGAACAGGTTCTGCCTGGAAGGGAGAGGGCAGAGGGTGAGAGGGTATGGGCCGGGGCAAAGGGAGAAATGTATGCACATGTGAATAAATGAATAAAAAAATAGTCAGAGGTGCAAAGAAAGCCAGGCCAAATGTCTCTGAAGAGATGGGTCTTTATGTATAATGAAGGGTGGTAAGGTCTGGCAGGGGCATTCTACAAAACAAAAGGATGGGAGGAAGAAAATCTAAGAAAGTAAATAAACATTTATCAGGTGATACCTGAGGAGGAGACGTGAGTAGGTCCCAATCTCAAGAAGCCCATATTTGGGGAGATTTCACCATATTATAGGAAACTCCTTTCCTACATTCAGAAAATGACAGTCTAGACAGGAAGACATTCAACATAGTAGCAGGTTTATATTCATTTTAGGGATAAATATTCACTCTGTGGCTGTGTGTGATCAAAGGGAACACAGACTAGAGATAGCATCAGAACCTTGAGCAGAATCTATATGTATTCAGTACAAACCTTTCCATCAGCTTCTCTTGGTTAACTTGTGTCACAAGTCTCAAGAAATCTGAGGCTCACATATTGAGTGAAGTCCTACTCAAATATGCATGTGTGACTCATGAGATAAAAATCCTATGAAAAGAAGCAGAGAATTTCATCATTGCATCAATAACTAAGTTTCAAAATTGGGACCCTGAAATTCTCTGTGATAATGATAAGCTTAAATGAATTAATAACTCTAAAGCAGTTATTATGCTGCTTTGTACATTATGAATGCTCAGTAAAATGTTAACCATTATTATGATGATAATATAACTAAATCTACTTTCTAAAATCTACTTTTTTTTGGAGGAACTCAGGGTCTCACTTGCCAGGCAGGCACTCTACTGCTTGAACTATTCCTCCATCCCTAAAAAATGACTTCTTATTGAACCCAGGGACTATAGTCCCTGCTATTCAATCTCTGTGGCAAAAGAATAATTATTCAATAAATATTGATATCTTCTGTGTGCCTGGCACCATTCTAGATATCGAAGGTCATAACCAGTAAATAAAAAAAATCTCTTTCCTTATAGAAGACATCTCTCAAAAGGAAAACAGATTATAAACAAATTATGTTAGTAGAAAGAATAGAATGGTAGATGGTGATAAGCACAATGAAGAATAAAGTAGTAGAGGAGTTAGGCATTTGGGGTATAGAGAATGATAGGGAATATCTCACTGAGATGATATTTAAGTTAAATTGAGCAGGTGCAAGGCCTGAAGTAGTCAGGAGGTGAAAAAAGGAGGGAGGGAAAGAACAAAATAAGTGATTGAATATTATTTTGACTTTTTGCTGATTTCTATTCATTTTTAAAAACTCAACGAGAATGAAGCCCACAAGAATAACTTAAAAGAAGACATACTACAAGTACTCAATGAGAATTTTATAGAGATGATACTGGATAGGGTCAACCAAAATGTACAGGAGACACTCAAGAAATTCCAAGACAATAAAAATAGAGAATTTGAAAAAGCAAAAGAAGAAATAAAGGAAACCATAGAAGCACTGTATACCTTAAAGACCCAAAAAACTCTACTCAGAAGCTTCTAGACATCATCAATAGCTATAGCAAGGTAGCAGGATATAAAATCAACATAGAAAAATCATTAGCATTTCTATACACTAACAATGAGCAAACGGAAAAAGAATGTATGAAAACAATTCCATTTACAATAGCCTCAAAAAAATCAAATACCTAGGTGTAAACCTAACAATAGATGTGAAAGACCTCTACAAGGAAAACTATACACTTCTGAAGAAAGAGATTGAGGAAGACTATAGAAAGTGGAGAGATCTCCCATGCTCATGGATTGGTAGAATCAACATAGTAAAAATGTCGATACTCCCAAAAGTAATCTACATGTTTAATGCAATTCCCATCAAAATTCCAATGACATTCATTAAAGAGATTGAAAAATCTAGTGAATTTATATGGAAACACAGAGGCCATGATAGCCAAGGCAATACTCAGTCAAAAGAACAATGCAGGAGGTATCACAATACCTGACTTCAAACTATATTACAAAGCAATAACAATAAAAACAGCATGGTACTGACACAAAAACAGACATGAAGACCAGTGGAACAGAATAGAGGACCCAGATATGAAGCCACACAACTATAACCAACTTATCTTTGACAAAGGAGCTAAATAGCAGCCTCTTCAACAAAAACTGCTGGGAAAACTGGTTAGCAGTCTGCAAAAAACTGAAACTAGATCCATGTATATCACCCTATACCAAGATTAACTCAAAATGGATCAAGGATCTTAATATCAGACCCCAAACTCTTAAGTTGATACAAGAAAGAGTAGGAAATACTCTGGAGTTAGTAGGTATAGGTAAGAACTTTCTCAATGAAACCTCAGCAGCACAGCAACTAAGAGATAGCATAGATAAATGGGACCTCATAAAACTAAAAAGCTTCTGTTCATCAAAAGAAATGGTCTCTAAACTGAAGAGAACACCCACAGAGTGGGAGAAAATATTAGCCAACTATACATCAGACAAAGGACTGATAACCAGAATATACAGGGAACTTAAAAAACTAAATTCTTCCAAAACTAATGAACTAATAAAGAAATGGGCAAGTGAACTAAACAGAACTTTCTCAAAAGAAGAAATTCAAATGGTCAGAAAACACATGAAAAAATGCTCACCATCTCTAGCAATAAGGGAAATGCAAATTAAAACCACGCTAAGATTCCACCTCACCCCTGTTAGAATAGCCATCATCAGCAACACCACCAACAACAGGTGTTGGCGAGGATGCGGGGAAAAAGGAACCCTCTTACACTGTTGGTGGGAATGTAGACTAGTACAACCACTCTGGAAAAAAATTTGGAGGCTACTTAAAAAGCTGGACATCGATCTACCATTTGATCCAGCAATACCACTCTTGGGGATATACCCAAAAGACTGTTACTCCAGAGGCACCTGCACACCATGTTTATTGCGGCACTATTCACAATAGCCAAGTTATGGAAACAGCCAAGATGCCCCACTGACGAATGGATTAAGAAAATGTGGTATCTATACACAATGGAATTTTATGCAGCCATGAAGAAGAACGAAATGTTATCATTCGCTGGTAAATGGATGGAATTGGAGAACATCATTCTGAGTGAGGTTAGCCTGGCCCAAAAGACCAAAAATCGTATGTTCTCCCTCATATGTGGACATTAGATCAAGGGCAAACACAACATGGGGATTGGACTATGAGCACATGATAAAGCGAGAGCACACAAGGGAGGGGAGGATAGGTAAGACACCTAAAAAACTAGCTAGCATTTGTTGCCCTTAACGCAGAGAAACTAAAGCAGATACCTTAAAGCAACTGAGGCCAATAGGAAAAGGGGACCAGGAACTAGAGAAAAGGTTAGATCAAAAAGAATTAACCTAGAAGGTAACACCCACGCACAGGAAATCAATGTGAGTCAATGCCCTGTATAGCTATCCTTATCTCAACCAGCAAAAATCCTTGTTCTTTCCTATTATTGCTTATACTCTCTCTACAACAAAATTAGAAATAAGGGCAAAATAGTTTCTGCTGGGTATTGAGGGGGGGAGGGGAGGGGGAGTGGGTGGTAAGGGAGGGGTGGGGCAGGGGGGAAAATGAACCAAGCCTTGTATGCACATATGAATAATAAAAGAAAAATGAAAAAAAAAATAAAAAAAAATAAACTCAACAAGGGCATCACTTCTATGAATGCTTCATTGATGCCTCATCTATTTTTATGAAGAGAATGAACATTTATGAAGCATTAAATAAGCATGCATACTAATCTAAGGGTTTACATGTATTATTTAATTTTCACAACTTGAAGATTTAGGCACTAGACCCATTTTTATGCCAAAGAATTGAGTAAATTTGTCCACGAGCCAAGCAGCCACAGCAGTGTAGGGATTAGGATGCACATCCTGGGTGGTTGACTCCAACATCCCGATTAATTACTAGCTGAAACACTTTCAGTCAACCACTTTTTCAGAACAGGAATGAGTCTGAGTCATTGTCTGAGGACAATCCAGAATGTCCAGCCTAGAATGATAGCTCAAAAACAGAGCAAGACAATATCTAAAGGTAGGCAGAAAATTCCAATATGTTAGCAATACTGAAGACTGGACTACCATTTCCACAGTCCTTATTTTGAACTATATAGTAGTTTAAGCGATCTCTATTTTAGATGGCATATTCTTTGAGAGTAGAAATTGTGTCATCCAAAATTTTATTCCAATGTCTAGAAAGGTAAATGCCCAGTAAGTTGTTATGGACTGAATTAATGAGTAATGAAGAAAATGTGGGAAATATACATCTATATACATAGAAGGTATGTACCAGCAAGCCCACTCATAAGAAATTTAGCTATAAACACAAAAGAATATATACTAATGCAGATTTTAAAGAATGATAAGAGATACAAATTGTACACATTATCTTCTTCCACCCTAAATCTCCTCTTTCTATC